GATCCTAAAGACCAAATACCAAAATGCAGCATTTTTTTGTGAGCAGGCAGCAGTCCCGTGTTGCCGGTTTCTCACATTTATAAATAGTGTCTCAAAATCTCACAAGTCATAGGGTGGGCTTGAAAATTCGTTTTTCTTTTTTGTTTGGGTTTCTTTCTTTCTTTTTTTTCTTTCTTTCCTTTCTTCCTTTTTTTTTTTTTTTTTTTTTTTTTGTAATGGAATGCTATTCTGAAGTAGATCTGCCCCTTAAAGGAGTTCCTTACATCTGTAACATATATATCTCTTCATAAACATACATAAAGGTACATGTATAAAAGAAAGGCTTTTTAAAAAAAGAAGGAAGGAAGGAAGGGAAGGATAACCATGATTCTTGACAAAGTCAAGAACCATCTCACAAAAAGGTGCAGGTTTCAGGAATTCACAAAACACTGTAATATCTGAAGAATCTGCAGGAGAGGAAATCAAGACATCAAGCAACATAAGCAGAGCAGAGCCCCATGATATCCTGCACCTTTGGATCTCTAATGTTTATTCAGAGCACAAGAGTTCAGAGTTAATTTCAGCTGAAAGGTCTTAATATTATTACTTAGTGCCCAGTTCTCTTGTTTTGGCTGGTTAAATGTAGAAATTGTTCATGCCTGACTTCAAAGAATCGGTCCCCAGGTACTTTGGCAGCTTGTAGTGAAGTTTGTGTCATACTTGTAGCATTCAGCATTGTCCACTGAATTGAAATCATTATGCTATTAATGTTAAATGTATTATATAATTATAAATATTTAATATGTGTATGTTACATCAATATTAAGAACACCCGACACTTCCTACTGCAAACCCTGTTTTCAGCTAGTTATAACTTCTCATACTTGTAATGATTTGACACAAAATTTTCCGTGCCAGGTGTCTGCCTCAGGCAGAATTTTGTGGTGTTCTATGGTGTGTTTGTTTTTTTTTCCCCTTCTTTTAATGTCAGCCAAAGGAACTCAGCTATTTCTGTGAGAGGCCAGCCAGGGAAAACCATGCAAAATAAACCTGGCAGCCTTTTTGAAGGGACCTGGTGCGTCCTTATCCTGGGGGAAGGCACTTAACCTTTGTCAAAGGTGTGACTTTCTTTGGGATACCTGCTTCAGTTGGTAGGTTCAGATGGAAAACGTGCCAGGAGGTGGGTGAACAATGAATGTTTTAGAGATTACAATTCACCTTGTGCTCCCACAGACCTGTGGGAATATGATGCTCAATATGACCATCCCCACTCAATGCTTTCAGCTCCAAACCAAAACCACCCAGATGTGTGCTTGGCCACCAAAACAAGAGCAGCTCCTTCCAGCCCCAGTCAGGAAACAGCAAACTGTTGGTAGGAAGAAAAAATATGTGATATATTTGAGCCATCTTTTCCCTTTTATGTTCATGGTTCATCTTTATCCTGCTCGTGTTAAACACACTTAGCACTTAATACCTATTTGTGCTTTTAATTCCTGAAATAGGTTTGCAAAGGACTATTGGGAAAAGTAGATTTAATCGGCAAGTTTTAAGGCTAAAGGCAGGACTAAGCTTTTCCTTACTTTTCTCTCTTAATGGTTTTAGCAGCAAGATACCTTCAAATTCAAACTTCCTGCACACATTATGGAAATAGGAAATCTTCCTTTTTCTCTTGATGGGTAGAACATACCTGCCTTGCCTCATGTTCTCCAGCATCTGTCTCGGATCTGGCAGCCCACGCACAGAGCCTGAGACTGCAGCAGTTGCCTTTCCTCATGCTGTGAAGCCACAATCCATCCTGATGCATCCCTCAAGAACATGGTTTTACTTGGTGGTGTCCCAAGAGGCTGTTTTACACCATGCTTCTTCCACCTACCCAGAAGTTGCAGATCAGTTTGTGAGAATAATGCAGTATATTTAAGATTTTATCAGAACTGAAGTAAAACCACACAACTGTGATTTCTGATAATTCAGATATGAATATTTTCAGTTTGAATATTGCGTCTCTTTCAGTATTCAGAAATGAATATAATGTAGTTTGAATATTTCATCTTTTAGCGATATTCGTACCCTACAAAATACCCAACAAGCATTTTTATAGTAAAAATTTCCACCATTTCTCTCTGTCTTGATGCTCTGGAGACCAGAGCGATTTCTAGGGAATCTGTAAGTACATTTAATCCAGGTTTTTTTTCCTTAACGTTTCCTAAATTCTTAAATACTCGTAAATGAGTACCTGAATTATATTACCTATTAAATGACACCCATTGTACATCTCTATAACTCATAAAATCATACAGAATAGTGATAATTTTCTTGCGAAAAAGCTGTTTGATGGGCACAGTGTTTCTCTAGCCCTTTTTCCCTTTACAGTGCACAGTCGATACAGATAGAAACGAGACGAAGAATTAGATTTGTTCAGCAAAACTTTGATTGCTGTATCACAACCTTTTTATTACAGCCTTCAGCTCGGAGATGTTTGCATACCTTATTGAGCAAGCTGCATATTTTTGCCGTGTGTGTATGCAGCGTGTGTCCTGTAGTCATTACATTTTTGCACACTCCACTGCCTGAGCTGCATGAACTATTTTAACTATCGCCGGGAACACTTGACGGAGTTCAGCTGCTCATTTGAGCGCTTCGGTTTGTGTGCTTTATTACTCCAGTGGTGTGTGTTGATAAAGTTCTGCTCTGTGCTGTTAAATTTTTGGTTCTGCCGGTCTCGCTCCGTGCCACGCTGGGAGAATGGCACGCCCTGCTAACTGCTTCCTCCGCGGCGAACGCGGGCGCTGCAAATGTTAGAATCTGCACTGTTTTGTTAAATGAGCTGCATATTTTTGTTTTTATATACATTGCTTACCCAGTTGTGTACATTTGCCCAACTCATTATACAAAATAAGCTTGATTGGAATAAGAACATTCTCTACCAGCTGTCTGCTCTGAGTCAGTACGCAACAAAATTAGCAACTTTCTCTTTCCAACAGTGACATGATTGCATCCAAAGTTTAAGGCAATTGGTTTGGAGATCTTGTTTGTTTCGTTCACTCCATGCAAACATCAAGATTAACAAACCAATTTGTTGCAACTTAATTTGTTTTCACAAATATGAACAGAGTTAAGTAACAGAGGAAAATCTGGGCATTCTAATATGGGGAAATGCTTCCATGTAGAGCATGAAATGTATAGAGACCTAAATACCATTCTCGAACTTAGAGCCATATATTGTAAACGTGAGATGATGGAAAACAGCTAGAGACCTCCCGAGGTGGATATTTCATCAGATAAGCAGTATCCCAAATACTTAAAATCGCAAACATAATGTTTTGTAAACTAAGTGCATGTTTTCATCTGGAGTCATAAAAATAAGTTCATCTCATGACCATTGGAAAATCTCAAAATATGTGAAACCTCATGTGCAGGCACCTGCAGTTTCCTTATTACCTTTGGTGCAAAATTGAATTAACATCTTCAAGAAAGTGTTTTTCTCAACTTGCCAATTTTTCAAGTCAGTTCCAGTCAAAACTACAGGTTATTTTTATTTTTTTTTAATTAATTTATGGAGTTCACACACATAGAAGTTTGTGCTCCCATTTACAGAATCTTCAGCACTACCTTACCTCGAAAAAACTTGCTTAATTTTTCTTGAGTACAGAGCTAATTACTCAGTGTTGTGTAGTTTACCTGGCTCCCTACCTGCCCCACATATCAGTGTAAATGTGCCTGGTTCCTGTTGTCCATGTCCCACTGCTGACTGCTTTCACTTCAGTCTTATCATTCACTGTTGAGCAGACTGTCTGGAGAGTCCAGATTGGTTTTTGCAAAGTTTTACAGATGATAGTTTAATTGATCTTATTGTTTCAGTCAAAATTGCCTGATTTTAATCAGTGACTGTTCAGTTCTGAGGCTTCTCATGAACCATTATGTAAGAATGCGAGCATTACAATAGGCTGTTCTAAAAACAAATGTGTGAATAGCATTTTCGGTGGTCTGTCTTCACTGCTACCTGTGAAAAAGAAGTGTAAAGAGAGAGGCAGAAATTGAATGTATCAATATATCCTGGACTGTTATATAAAAATTACTTTAGCCTTCGTATTTTGTTTTTTCCTGTGTACATTAATATTGGGTATCAAGAGAATGTGACAAATGAGGAATACTACCTTTACCATCTGAAAAGTCAATGTACTACGTGAGATGAGCTACATCCAATTTAGATTTTCTTAACAGAAACAGAATAAGTAACTTTGTGTAAAATGACTTAGAGCAGACAGATGGTAGGGAAGAAGGTTTTGTCTCTGTTTTCTCTTGTCTTTCCCCTGCATGAATTTCCTTTCAGTATCAGTCCATTACCCTTAAAGAAATAGGGCAAGGGGAAATGGCCTCAAGTTGTGCCAGGGGAGGTTTAGGTTGGATATTAGGAAAAGTTTCTTCCCTAAAAAGGTTGTCAAGCACTGGAACAGACTGCACAGGGAAGAGACTGAGTCTCTGAGATTTAAAAGATGTGTAGATGTGGTGCTTAGGGACATGGTTTAGTGGTGGACATGTCAGTGCTGGGTTAATGGTTGCACTTGATGATCTTGGAGGTCTTTTCCAAGCTTAGTGATTCTATGATTCCACCCTAGGATTCTATGGAGCAGTTAGAAGGTTTTCATGAGGATTGATAGCCCATCTCCCAGATTTCCACCAACCTCTCTAATGTTCACTGCAGCAAACTGGACTTGCTTTACTGTTTTCAGATCTGAGCAACCTATTTCTTTATGTGGCTAGGATGCCTACTGAAAAATCAACATACTAAATTAAAAACATATACTTCATGTGCATCAATGCAGTGTAAAACAACACAGACAATTTAAAAACTTGGAACAGGCAGGATATTGATCTATTGAGAGTAACAATAATTCATAAGACACATCTATTTTATATATTATCTCTGTATATTCTTATGCAGCTGGTATAGGCAGCACACATAGAAATTCTTTGAGATTTTATACCTGATCTCTTTTCTTTTTCCTTTTTTTCCCCCCCAGAGAGTAATTTTCAATGTTGTCAACTTCAGTAAAACAAAAAGCCTCTATAGAGATGGGATGGCTCCGATGGTGAAATCCACCAGCAGACCAAAATGGTAAGTTTTACTCTCGAAGACTTGCTTTATGAGATAAAAGGGTTGCACTTGACACTTGTAGCAAAGCCCCTGTGGCTTAGGGGCACCTTTACATAAGAGTATGAGAAGTTTGATCCTGCAGCATTGTAAGCACAGGTTCTCTGTGGAGCACATGGATAGTGTGAATTCTAGAGGCCCCTTCCAGCCTTGCTGCTATGGTGTGTTGTAGTGCCTGGTTTCAAGTAGCATCACTGAACTGAAGTCCATTCAAGCAAACTGAACAGTCAAGGCTTGGGCCAAACTGTTTTTCCGTGACTGTCCAACGGTGAGGACAGTCCCTGTCGCAGTTTTGGGCTGGATCAGCTGACAGTCTGCCCCAAAAAGCTTGCAAACAGTTTGGGAGATGGACTGGTGGCTGGACTGGTTCTGAAAAGCTGCTTGGAATTGCTCTCCCTGTTTTGGGGTGGTTGGAGTGTGATGGAGGAACGTGAGCTCTGCCATGTGAGTTGACCTCACGTGAGTGAGCAGTGCCACTGTCTGAGACAGAAGGAGGCCAAACAACCTCCTTGTAAGCTCTATAATAAATACAAAATGGAAAGGCATGTGCATATTAAACACGTGAATACCCATATAGATGGTACATTTTCTCAAGGCAAATGTAATGAAACCTCTCCTGTGAATAATAATATGTAAATCTGGTGAGTCCGAATGCGTGCAAGACTCCCAAGAATTATATGATTTGCCTTTGCCAGGAGACTTGTTTGAATATGGATAGTGAGGTTAGGCCAGAAGTGTACAGTAAGGGATTCTTGTCAGCCTTCACAGCTGCTGCTTTTTATTGGTTAATTAAGAATACATTTAATCAAGCTGGACATTCCCTGAGCCTTACAAATCTATCTTTCTTAAATGCTTCAACCGCCACAAAATTTCCACTCACAAAATGTTAACTTTTGGTGGTCATAAGACCGTTGTTATTGTGTGGCTTCCTCTTCATGTGAGCAGCAGAATGGATATTTGGCTTTTTGTCTAGATGTTAAGGTCATGTGGACAGAAGAGCTGTCTCTCAGTACAGTTAGTGGATTGAGTCAATTCCAGCTCGATAGGAACATGTAATAACATTGAAAATTAATTAAAAAAATCCATTGTGTTTAGTGTTTTTGTAGCAAAAGTCGTGTTAATTGTGTTTACCACTTAACTTCAGAAAAATCTTTTGGGGCATTGCAGGGCCACATTTATCAAGCATACTTTAATCATCTTTCAGAACCTTTTCCTTCTCTCACTGGGGTCTGGTATTTGCAGCTAAGTATATTGTGTTTTAACTTCATCTATAAATCAGATATTGCTTTCATACAAATTTTATGCCTTACTTTGGTTTCAAATTAAAGTGTAAATCTTACAAAACAATGCAAAATGGACTTATTTTTTTAGAACATATAGGCTTCTCACTATTTTTAAAACAGATTTCTCTTCCATTTCCCCGGAGATCTATTTATTTTTGTGTTTTATATTTTTAGAGGTTGTATTTTGCTCCCATGAAAGCGAGGAATGAATAACATTGCCTGGAGCCAGGCACAGTGTAGGCAGCAGGTGCTGAGCAGCTTCCTTTTAGAGGGCTACTGCCATACTTTAATCCTGTTTCAAAAATTCAAGATGTAATTTTTTTTTCTTTAAAAAGATGATTATTCTATTAAGATATATTTTTTTTTTCTAATAGTCTGCATATGAAAACATCTTGCTCTACTTTGAAGGTGCACATTAATTCATACTGTTATCAGGGACCTTAGTGATATTGGGGTCTACTCAGTGTAATTTTCTGTCTTGACGTTAATAGGATTCAGGCATGTGTTTTCCAAGTGGGAAAACACACATATTATTTTTGGATATGCGAGTTCTATTAGGGCTGTCTTCCATTTGGATTATGCCTTTCACAGTTACCTCTGTATCTGTTTCCATGGCATTCTAGTGAAACCTGTAAACAAAATTTTCTCCTCCTCTGTTTGCTGAAAGAGGATTTGCTGGTCCTTGCAGGTGCTAATGCAGCACACAGGTGGTTGTGGGCCTCGAACACCAACAGGGCAAGATCCAACTGCATCGATTGGATCCCCTCTGATGTGCTGGGTATGTTAGTCTTGTGAGCAGTACTGAATCATTCAGTGCTGCAAAAGTGCTGAGCTTTACACGAGGGTAGGAAGGTGTGGAAGGAAACTATTGAAACTCTCCACCTTATATTGGGATTTATGTCAGCGTAGCAGTTTAGTGGACATAATGTAATTAAATTAGAGAATGATATATTCGTTACAAAAAGCTGAAGAAACACTAAATGTTTTAAAATCAAGTTAAAAAGGATGATTACCAGAAGCCATGGGCTCCAAGTAGTCTGTAGGTCAGCCTTCATTTCTGAACTCCTCTGTATGAAATATTTGAGGAGTTTATTATTGTGCCTGCCTGTGGAGACACGTGTTCCATACCTAAATTACCCAACTTCCTCTGGCCATGCTGATAGATGCAATTCTGTGTCACACATAACTAGTCCACTCCACTTTTTATTTAATCAAGTTTGAGTTTTAGAGGGATAAAGTGTCCTTTTTTCATTTGAGAGATCTAGGAACACCACTCCTCTTAATAACAGATACCCCTGAGTTACGCCCTTTTGATTTATATGAGAAAGTTCCCACTGCATTCAGGCTAGAATTTGACCATATTGCTCACAAACCCCTGCATATCAACAGTAGATTGGCCTCCAGAGACTGAATTTTAATGCTTCTTTTGAATGTGGTTATGCAAACATGGCTCCAAGCTCTGCAACGTTTTGTGAGTTTGATTCTTGACTGTGGAACAAATCGCTGCCAAGTGCTCTTGAAGTAGAGAGTGTGTCAAACAGAGATCAACGTTTTTGACCTGTATTCTCTTGCCCTGTGGGGTAAGATCTTTAAATGCAGACAGCATCAAGGTTCAGCTCAGTGTTACTGATGTAAATGGAGTATATCACTGTCATCAAAGCACTCTGTGTGGACACAGATGTTCTGCTGTTGACATATTCTTCTCGTTTGAAGTAAGGCCAAACGTTTCCAGTAATGAGCTACTGGAAAAGAGGAAGCAGTGTGTTGAAGGATAGGGAAAAAACAGGTTTCGTGGTAAAGAAAAAAAGATTAAAAAAAAAAAAAAGAAAAAAACCCCTGAAAAATAAATTCTGATTAAAATGATATAGGTTGTCCCCATACATGGTCACGAACACTGAATAGTGCAGGGTTGTGTCTGTTGTATCAGTCAAATTTCACTACATTGAATCACAGCTCATATATAGAAATACAGCATTGTGTCACACAATGTGATATCAGTTGCTTTCCACAGCAAATTGGACAAGATGAAATTTGAGATTTTATTACAAACCAAGGGAGTGGTCCATCTTTGGTCACTTTAGCGCTTTGCTTGAAATTAGCTGGTTGTTCAGATATATTGCACTGAGATTTTAGAGAATTAGTGGTTTTTTTTAAATCAAAAATTAATATATATAATATATAAAAACTGAATATCATGGAGACCTGTTCAGATTTGCCTTTGTCTGGGTTTTTTCTGTCTGTTCAGTGGAAGTGAAAAATTTGAAGGGAGGTGGATCTGAGGACATTAAATTTTTGCTATGTTTGTGGACTTTGTACTATGATCTTATTTTTATTTGGGGCTTCATTTAAGTGCAACATTATTTTGTTGCAGTTTCTTAATCATGATTTCACACTAAAAGCTCTGTCTTTGGAAGGTGTAAGTAAAGCCTACCACGTGGCCTAGCAGTGGAAGCCCATCCAGGTACATATACCATACTATTATATTGATTGCATGAAGTTTTACAAGTTTCTCAAAGTTAAATAGAAGAGTGAGTTGTTCGAGAGGCAGCAGATTTTCCAAATGATGAAGTGAGCAAATATTCCCTTTGGGCAGAGAGCAGCTATAACTCTTGATTATTCAGTGTGAGCATTGCCTCATTGGGGACATTAGTTTTTCAAATTGTGCTAATCTTTTAAAAGTAACAACTGGCCACTCATCACCTTAGGTATTTCAGCAAGATCATGTGCAAAACTCTAATTAGTATTTATAGAACAGCAACTCCTCCCAGTAGAATAGTAGCAGTAGCTGGCAAATATCTGGTTGACACCTGTTAAGTCTTCAGACATCCATTGTATTTTATTCTGCATTTCAAATGAGCAGAGAGCAGTAGGTGAAGTCCCCATAATTAAGGGATAAAGGATAATAAATAACACGGCTCTCGAGTGGATGAACACGAGGTTAAAGGCTGTTCTGCAGTTGTGATGCTGTGTTTCAGGAAGTGTTTGTCTGTAAGTAATAATGCTAGCTAAAATATTATGGAGCCTTCAGCACAGGAGCGAGGATTTATGTCTAGATTTACATGTGTTTTGTTTATAATGTCAGATTTCAAACTGCTTCTTGGCAAAGCAGCTGCTTTCTTCCCTGTCTTTTATCTCGCTCATCACTGATGGCTTTTAACTGGATAGCACTCTTCCCCAGCAAGCACTCTGCTACCTCTGTTGCTATAACATCTACTGTTAAATACTCACAGCACATTGCTTCTGAAGTGGTTTTCTTTTCCAGTAAACCTGGAAGTACAGAAAAACTTCTGGGTAATTAATTCAAATTTGAATCTGTATGTATCTTGGTAAATATTGTCATGATGAGGAATTTTGGTAGACATCGAGAAAAGCAATGTAAGTTTTATGAACAATACTCCCATATGTTCCATTCATCAGAAGGGGACAAGTCTGAGAAAATCTGAATTTTGAGTAGCTAAAATGTGTTGCTTCTTGCCAAGTTTCTTTAACATTTGTGTCTACAATGCAGTGTTACAATCACCACCATGTCTACCAGGCTGCATTATACATTCAGAGACTTTCAGCAGCATTTTTAGTATGTATTTATATATCTTTAGCCATAAGATAAGCTGTTTGTGAAATGAGCTGTCATTTGTGGTGAAACAGTTTGAGAATAAAGAACTAAATATATATATAGTTAGC